CTCAGGTCCCTTGCTTGCCCTTCCCTGGTGTGACTGACCTGACGGGGAAGATAAGAAGGACAACAAACCTAGGGAATTGTGGCGTTTTTTGCTAGACTTTATGTGTTTACTCTCTTTATATTATATAATAACCTACAGGAAAGTAACTGAGAAGGCTGGCTAGCAAAGGCAAATGAAAGGTGGAAGGCATATGAGATGCAAATTATTGGAGTTTGAAGTTACAAGTCAAACAAAAAACAAAAAAGAACCCCAAAACAGGGCTGTCCAGGTTGCTGAGTCTGGGGGTCAGCCTTGGAAGGCCCTGAGGGAAGAGGGAAGCCAGGTGTTCCTTTCTCACACTCAGACCATCTCTCTGATGGCAGATCGTCTCCTCTGGGGCTTCAGCTCCTACTAGGGAGGGCTTCTGAGCTGTCAGCTTCTGTGGGGTGGCCCTGTCCCCTGGGCTCCAGCACCGACACTTCTATGCTTTGTTCCTGTTGCTTAGGAACTTTCTGCAATGACTGAGTTCCTGGATGGCTCCTGCTTCCCCGTTTGCCTTCACATCTTTCCTTCTGTGTGATCAGTTCCCTGCATTATAGTCCTTCTGTTGAGATCCTTAGACTACTTTATATTTTCCTAGTTGAACCTTGACTGAAACAGCTGGCATTTGGTGGATAGTTGATGAGTCTGATTGCCGAAATTTTAAACTACCTTCTATGGGGACATCTGTTTTTTGAGAGAGCCAGGGGTAGGTCCTATGTCGGTTATATATAGTACACAACAGCATTTTGTACAGTTACCTGAGAAAGTAACACATTACCTCAAAACTCAATGGTTTGAAACACTTGACATTCATAAGTTCACGAGTCTGAGGGTTGGCTACTGGCTGGTCCTTTGAGTTCCGGCTGGGCCCACGCGTGCATCTGTGGTCAGCTGGGTGGTTCTGTATATCTTGCCTGGGTGCTGTCCTGTGTGTGGGGCTTGGCTGCTCTAGGCTGATCTAGGATGGCCTTGGCTGAGACGTGAGTCAACACCACTCTGTGTTTCTCAACCATGACAGGCTAGCCCAGGCATATTCTCATGACAGTTACAGAGGAGCAAAGCAAACACATAAACATAACAGGAACTTTTTCAAACCTCTAGATGGAACATACCTGCTAACATTCCATTGGCCAAAGCAAGTCACCTGAGCAAAGCCAGAATCAAAGGGGGCAGGCATATTGGCTGAACCTCTTTAGTAAGAGGAACCGCCAAGTTACATGACAAAGGGTAGGAACAGGGAGGGCTGAAGATGTGACCGTGAATGCAATGCAGTCAGTCTCTATCAGGCTCCACAGGTTTGATGAGAGAGCCGAGACCAAAGAAGTAGAGAGATAGATGACATTAATGTATCGCCATAATAGTAACCCCTTTTAAATGAAAACTTTGCAATAACATACACATTGTGTATTCGCTAGCTTGTTCTGTAGAGTTCATTTGTACATAGTTGCAGACTGAAGAACATAGACCAAGTAAAGAGCCATTTATAACTAACATATTAATAAACCAGGCTAAAGGGACTTTATTTATCCTTTAACCTTCAATTTGCATTAATTGGGAGCAGTCATGGGAAATGGGGCCAACCTTACCTCAGGTCACATGGCTTAACAAAATGAACTGTTTCATGCCCAGAAATAAATGCCTTCCCAATATAAATATGAATCAGTTACAACACAGAACATTTTGAGTACAAAATAACCACACTGTTAATATATTTGTGTCCCAATTAAAAATGTGTAAGGAACACACATTCTGGGCTAAAGTTGTCCCAGGGAGTGATTCTCATTTTTGCTTTGAATCTTGTGTAAACAAACCGGGCAGCCTCCTTTGAGCCATGAGCAAAGCCACGGCTCTCTGTCTAAAGAGAAGAATTAAAAATGGGAATGTTTAAGTTGGGAAAGGTCTGGGGCTTGACCTTTTTGCTGCTTTAAATTTCATTCCTTCCTCCATTACTAGGAAAGCACTTTGAGTTTGTCTTCTTGGAGAGCTCTAATTTGGTGTGTTCTTGCTTTGAGCCACACCATGAAAGAGATGCTGTCTGTTTGTATTATGGCAAAACTTGGAAGCCACTTCAGTGGCACTGTTTTCCAGTTGCCTTCTCTGCTGTTTTAATCTTTACACCTGAGCGTGTTCTCAGTAATTCACAATGAAGCCCGTGACATCCTACTGCCTGAGCGAGAATCCCAGTTAGCCTTTTTTCACTGGCTTTGGGCATAATTTTAAATCTTTCTCCGACTCTGAACGACGGGGTTTCCTCATCTGAACAATGGGGTTATTAATAATACCTACCTCATCTGATCATTGTGAGGATTGAATTAAGTGAAATTAGGTGAGAGAATTAGCATAACCCAACCCACAAAATGTGCTTAAGAAGTGGTATATATTAAACTGCTTATTGTTACTAATTATTATGTGAGAATGTTTAGGTTGTTTTCACTGAGTCAGGTTCATGTATATTCTTCAAAGTATAAATCAGAATTATACTTTCAAAAAATAAGTTGAGGTTCAATATGGTTTAACATATAAGGCACTGTTTGTTTTTAGGTATTAATGTCAAGGGTAGCGGTGCATATCTATTCACATTTAAAACCACAACAGTTACAAACACAAGCTTCTTTCTGGCTTGTCAATTTAGTCTTTGAGAATGCTTTTAGAAAATGCTTCTTTTTCTTTCTTTTTTTTTTTTTGCGGTACACGGGCCTCTCACTGTTGTGGCCTCTCCCACTGCGGAGCACAGGCGCAGGCTCAGCGGCCATGGCTCACGGGCTCAGCTGCTCCGCGGCATGTGGGATCTTCCCGGACCGGAGCAGGAACCCGTGTCCCCTGCATCGGCAGGTGGACTCTCAACCACTGCGCCACCAGGGAAGCCCGTTCTTTTTTCTTTTTTTAATTGAAGTATAGTTGATTTACTATGTTGTGTTAGTTTCTGGTGTACAGCAAAGTGATTCACTTATATTTTTTCATATTTTTTTCATTATAGGTTATTACAAGATGTTGAATATAGTTTCCTGTGCTATATACATTAGGACCTTGTTGTTTATTTGTATATAGTAGTGTCTATCTGTTAATCCCAAACTCTTAATTTATCCCTCCCCCTCCCCACCCTTTCCCCTTAGGTAACAGTAAGTTTGTTTTCTATGTTTCTACGTCTGTGAGTCTGTTTTGTAAATATGCTCCTTAAATATCTTGGTCTTCAGCCTTAAAATATTAGAGCTTCCAGTGTTCTCGCAAACAGTACAGTGACACTGACAACTTGGGATTTCAGTATTTACGACAAAAGCAAGTGGAGAGAGAATTTGAAGGAAACAAATACAACCTCAAAGTCTTCCTTAATGTTGTTTGAAAAGGGAGGAAAATTAATAATAAGCAGATCAATTTTTAACAAATATGTTTTACCTTTCAATACACTGACTGTCCACTCTGCATGGAACCATAGTAGAGAAGACAGAGCAGCATCTTGAGAAGCTCAGAGTGGAGTTGCAGAGAAAATTCGCACATGCATACATACATATGCGCACACACCCACGTAACCAGCACACAGTTTAATGGTATGACAGGTGCTTTCATGGTGTTAGGTGGAAAGGCGGTGACTGAGCTGAGACTTAGTGCAGTCAGCATGGTCAGTTCACACACATGATGTTGAGAGTCCAAGTGTGGAACGATAGATACACATATGTAGGTTCATATCATATAGGTGAATGAAAAACACACAAGCACTCTTCATTGTCCTGGATACTCATCTGGTATGTAAATGTTTTAAAAAAATGTACTGGCAAGATACAAATTCATGGTCTGGCCTTGGAGTGGGTTGTCAAGGAGATTATACCTATGCTCTATTTTATTTTAAAAAAAAAAAGAAAAGAGGGGCTTCCCTGGTGGCACAGTGGTTAAGAATCTGCCTGCCAATGCAGGGGACACGGGTTCGAGCCCTGGTCCGGGAAGATCCCACATGCCGCAGAGCAACTAAGCCCATGTGCCACAACTACTGAGCCTGTGCTCTAGTGCCCGTGAGCCACAACTACTGAAGCCCGTGTGCCACAACTACTGAAGCCTGTGCGCCTAGAGCCTGTGCTCTGCAAAAAGAGAAGCCACCACAATGAGAAGCCTGCGCCCCGCAATGAAGAGTAGCCCCCGCTCACTGCAACTAGAGAAAGCCCGCGTGCAGCAGCGAAGACCCAATGCAGCCAAAAATTAAATAAATGAATAAATAAATAAATTTATTAAAAAAAAAGAGCAGATGGGACAAAATGTTGTCAATGGTCCATTCTGGGCAGAGGGGACCCAGACATTTGTCCTGCCAACCTGTGCTTCCCTATGATCTCTAAGTTTCCCACAAGAACAACTACAACTGTGGGGCCACAGCCATGGAAAAAGCAGCCCCTCTCTTGCTGGGCAGACAGACACTTGAACGTCGTCTGCTGCAGGAACAGATGCCCTGGTTTCTCCTTCATCTGTTTACACCTGGGGGAAGAGTCCCCAACATCACTGCACTTGACACCATCTAGACAGCTCCGTAGCTTCCTTTCGGGTCCCCCATCCTGATGTCTCACAGGGGCACAGCCCCGGCTGAGATTTGCTAGGACCTGTCCTGGGAACCATCCTCTGACACCCAGCTGGACCCTTTTTAGCACAAAAGTTCTAAATTGTTTGATTCACATTTGCCTTTTAGTCCTCTTCCGAGGCTGGGAATCCAAAACCCCGGAGTCCTGTGCAGAAAAGTAGGTTCTTGGGATCCACAAACATTGTCTCATGCCTGTAATGTGTTATTACAATCCTTGTGTTAAAGTCCCTTTCTCTGAAACCAGCTCCCCTTTGGAATGAGATTTTATGTAAGTCTGTTTGCATGTATTCAAAATCAGAGACAGCTCTGAAACCAGACCCCATTTAAACATAGAAAGAAGAGCAGTGGTGAATTAAGCAGATGTTGGGGGAGTTTTAAAAAAACACACACATCTATTTATCTTTTTGTGTTTCCTTTTTTCCAGATCTGCATTTTCCCTCCCATTGGCCGTCCTGCGTGGGTACCAAGTTCCACACGGGATTTCATGGATTGTCAGGTCAGATGTTGGGCTTGACTTGGCTGTTTGCAGATTCGTGATTTTATGATTGCCACTTTTCAGCATTATGGGAATGATCTAGTTTTTATGGCATTGCTGTTGTTGTTATTTGAACTCTGTAGGTGTTCAGGAGGAAAATACAGCATTCGATGGGTTAAAAGTAAACATAATGGAGAGAAGGATGCTTCAAATTCATTTGGGGGAAAAAGGAGTAATAATTGGACAGAGAGAGAAAGGAGCCCATTTTTCATTTGTTATGTGGAAAAATGCTTGATGGAGGACCACAGTCCTTTGCCATCTCTCTTTTCCTTGAGCGCTTAAAAAAAAGCAAAAGGATCAGCTCACCCTTGGTCAGAGCAAGTCAGGTAGGGCATGTGCACCTGTGCAGTGAAGACCCCCTTCCATTACTGACAAGCCCATACAACTTCCCTCCAGTCCCCAGATGTTTGGAAATATCAGGCAGCCTGTTCAGTTTGGAACACTAGGATGTCATTTGGAACCCAGTTTGTTTACATTATTATAACAACAGTTGCAGTTTGTCTCTGCAGTTAGGGTTGTGTCAGCACTTTCCTTTCTGTGTTTATTATTTTTAGCAGTTTAAAAGCTAACCAGGAAAAATGGCTTTCTGGCGGCGAGGTGACATTCCGGCTGGGCCAGGGTCTGTGGCGTCTATAGATGCACTGACTGGCTGTGGAGTCGGGCCTTTTGAATGCTGCCTTTGTGCTTCCATCGCCAGGGCCTCTGGCCTATTGTCCAGCCGCCTCAGTTGAGGTGGCACTATCTGATTGTAACCGGTACTAATATTACAGTGTTCGGTGCCCAGGCCCTCCCCGGGGGCCCCCAGTCTGGCGGCCTCTGTCTCCCAGCTCTCTCTCCAGGGGACCAATCCCAGCTCTCATATCAGAAACGCTATTTGTAATTTATAGAAGGTTCCAGGGAAAAGGATCGGTAAGGATCGGCTAGCCCTGCAGTTCTCTAACTTTTTTATTTTTTTTTACAAAGAACCCTTTACCCAAATGCAATCTTCCAGTGAAAGGCAATTTGTAAGACCTGGAAAAGTACAGCTGTTCTGTTTGAAGGAGAGAACCGCAGTTTTCAGCCTCCACTCCACCCACCCCCAATCAAGGTGGCTTCTCAGGTCCCCTCCCCCAACCAAGAAACCTACGACTCCTCAGAATACTTGCACACTGTTTTCACAGGACGAGCCCCTCAATTTACAGAGAAGGAAACTAAGAGGTGATTTTATAGATGCTTAAAACATGAGACATTAGGCACTGAAAAAGTACACTGCATTCATCCATTTTTATTTAGTTCTAAAAAAGGCACAGCTAATCTACCGTAATAGCAATCAAAATAGTGGTTACTCTGGGGAGAGACCAGATTGACTGGGCAGGGACACAGGGAATTTTTCTGGGGTGATGCAAATATGTGTCTTCATAGAAGTGTGGGTTACATGGCATTTGTCATAACTCGTCTCCTTTTTGCTATACATAAATTATAGCTCTGTTAAAAAATAAAAAGAAGGGAAATAAAGCAAAAAAAAATTAGTTGTTTTGTGAATGAAAATACTGAGAGCTTCCTGAAATATTGAAAATACTGATGGTCTTAACGCTATATGCACTCTTTATTGAGTGGAATCTACGGTCATTATGCAAAGTTGCAGAAGACAAGAGACCACGCTGCTTTTCCAATTATTGAACTTGCTTTGTTCAATAGTTACCAAAACCAGAAAAAAAAAAATCTCAGAGAATTTCAGACAACAGAACCCCTGAATACCTTCTGGGGTCTTCTAGCCTGTAATGCAGCTAAAGGATGATGTATGGGATTCCTGGCGGTGGAAATCCCGAGTACAATACTTGATTCATGCATTACTTTGACATGTATTGTTGGTAATGCTTGGGAAATTGTTCATAATTTTTTAACCTTTGCTCCTTCATCTGAATGCTTTTTCGGGACCTGTGAAATACAAGATTGCTTCTTCTGTATCTTATCAGAGTTGAACTTCTGGTGACAGGTTGGAATTCAGGCCTTTAGTGACACCTCTATCCTTGCAATAAATCATCTGGACCCTTTAAAAATGACTTTTCTCCCCTGGAAATACTTGGAGCCAAGCCTACTAGAATTCTTCTATTTGTGTGTTTCAGAAGTCCGGCAGTAACATGGAAGGTCATTATTTGGGTTGAAATGCTGCTAAGGCCCTAAGCCCGGGCAGATAGGACCCTGTGGCCACTTGCCCTTTAGAGCCTCGTGAGGAGAGTGGGCTGAGAACAAGGAGAATGCTTTTGAAAAGGAAGTGATAATAGTGTTGGGGGATAGTAATAGAGGGCAAGTGAGGGTCGCGTGAAGCAAGGGCAGAAAGGATTTAAAGATATCGTTGTCCCCCCGTATCTGGGGGGGAGTAGTTCCACATAGACCAAATGCTCAAGGCCCTCAAGTGCATAAAACGGTGTAGTACAGTCGGCCCTCCTTATCCGTGGGTTCTGCGTCCACGGATTCAACCAACCCCGGATTGTACCCGAATGTTCCAGCCTCTGAGGCTGTGTGACTTTTCTTCAAGAAGAACAAACTGCTACTTTAGTGATTTCCCAACAAAGGGCCAAGATCTATTTCATTCACAAAATGGATCCACATGACCAAAAATTTAGTTCACTAATGAAGCAATGGCAAAACAGAATCATTTGTAAAAGGAGCATTTTTTTTTAAACCCACACATACTGAACTCTGCCTGCACAGACACACAAATGTCCTCATCAAATCAAATTTAATTCAGCAAGGTTTATATCCAACCAATTTAGTTTAATGTGCATAAGAGCAGAAGTGAAATTGCACAGTGGAAGAGTTTGAACAGAATTTGCTTTTTTGCAATTCAATGCCCATTTGAAAGGAACTGTTTCTTCAAGTCATTCATTGAGTCAACTTATCCAAATGGCAAGTACCAAGAAGAATTGTATGACTTCTCCATTCCAGGGACTTGGAGCAAGTGATTCTCCCAGAGCCAACGTTCTTGAAATGTACGTGTGTGTGTATGTGTGTGTGCATTCATCTACAGATCGAGGAGCGTTTGGAAAATGCAATGTGTGTGTAGTCAGATTTCAGTTATTTGTGAGAATGAGAGTAAAACATCAATAACTGAAGTCCAACCAATGGATATTGTTTCCTGTTGACTTTTAAAAATTAGCAACCTGGACGTTTTTAACCCCTGAACTGCTCATGAGGCCTGTGAACAAGTGGGAGTATATCCTGATTTGAGTTTTATCTCCTTCTTTCTCCCTCAACTATTTTTTCTGTTGGTGCTATTGGGCTAATAACAACTAAAACACTGGGTGAAAGAAAAATAACAAATGCCTTAATGTGCGTATTATTATTATTCTCAATTTCTAGACAAAGAAACTGAGGGTAAAGGTTGAGGAGCAATGCCTGAAGATTTTGCTGTCATAGTGGCAGGGCTGGGCTTCAACTCTGATATTTCTATCTGTGAGCCGCTATCTTAAGAAGAGAAGCAATGGATTGAAACTAATCATCATATTACACTGGCTGGAGCAGAAAAATACCTAAATTTGTGTAGAGAATAAACTACTATTTTGGGCCTGCCCATAGCAGAAAATCTTAATAACAGTGACAAACACACAAAATTTTATTTTTCTCTCCAGGGCAATTGGGGGTGGTTCTCTTATCATCAGGGACTCAGGTATGTTCTATCTTTCTGTATTTCTATTCTTAAGCATATGACTTTATCTTCAAGGTTCCTTCCTAGGTCAAGATGACTGCTGGAGCTCCAGCCCTCACATGTGAATTCTAGGCAGCAGGAAAGATGGGAAGAAGGGGACAAAGGCACCCATTTTCAGCTGGCTTTCCTCTCTAGGAGGGCTTCCCTGAATTCCCACTTCATGGCTTCTGCCTACAATCTCACGTACCAACTCCTGGTTGCAAAAGAGTCTAGAAAATGTAGTGGGTACTTTGCATCCAGAGGAGAAGTGAGATTTGGTTGTGAAGGAATAGAATGGAGGCACCTAGCAGATTGGTCACAATCAGACAGCTATTAAAGGCTTTTCAGTTTTGGAGAGGCATGATCAGGATGGTGCTTTAGAGGAACTGATCTTGTAGCCAACTGGTTGATGGATAAAAGGGGGAAAAGTGAAGGACTCCAATTTGTAGTGATGAGTTTTGTATTACTGAGGTGGCACTGGGGACAAGAGAGATCAATGTGATCCAATTTGTGAAGAATGCATTGACCAAGGAGAATGTACTCATTAATTAGCTGTGCAATTCAAAACTGGGTTTCAACAAACACACACACATATATTTGTGAGGTGTGTGTATGTGTATAAAAGTACATAGTATATACATATTCATATACACGTATGTATATGTGTATGAATGTGTATGTGTATATGTGAGTAAATATATATACATACACATATATATATGAATGGAAACCAGGGAAAGGCATTTAGCTAAACTTCTAGGAAACAGGATCCAGATAAACAAAACCGTCTCGTGTTGTTTTCATGTGCAGAAAATTGGCTGGAAATTTGATGATGCGGTCTATTGGCAATAGATAAATAATGCATAAACAAATATATGCAGGCATACACACAACACAAACAGCATAAAACTTTTCTAGGGCTCCATACCACCAACTGCAATAATTTTTAAACTTTGGCATCCCTAAACAAAGAAAAGGGAAAAATTAAAAGGAGCTAAATTATAAACTTTTAAAGGAATAAGAGGTGAAGGCATTGTAAACATAACAAAGAAGTTATCCTAAGAAGCCAAGCTAGAGGAAGTAGGAAAGTCAGGGTGGAAAAAAAAACGCCAGTTTTTCTTTCTCTCTTCTCCCTCTCTCTCTCCCCCTCCTTTCTCCCTTCCTTCCTTCCTTCCTTTCCTTCCTCCCTTCCTTCCTTCCTTCCTTCTTTCTGTCCTTCTTTCCTCCCCTTCCTTTCCTTCCTTCCTTCCTTCCTTCCTTCCTTCCTTTCCTTCCCTCCTTCCTTCCCTCTCTC